GGGGGGGTGGAAGATAATGTGTTTCTTGAAGTAAGACTGGCATCAGTATTCTGCATATAAATTGTCTTTGTCCCTGCCATTGTTAAGGAAACAAATCTTGAATATTCCTTCCAGGAATGGTACTTATAGCTTTCATCTCCAGAAGACAGAATGCAAGTTGACAATAACACTGATCATAAAATTTTCTTTCTTTCTTCTTACATATTTATTTTGAAATTAATTACTGACAACTATTACTCCACACATTGATAGTAACCTAAGGTCTAAAATTCTGTCGTGTTTCTTTAAAGAACCTTCCAGCCCAAAATAAGAGATAGGCAAACAGGTAACAGCTCTGTTTATTACTCCTCACTACAGAAAGTTCAGGCCATAGGCTTGGTACTCCTCAGCATCAAAAGGAGACACAAGCTGAAGCCAAGGGAAGCTTCCCCAACCAAAACAAGTGAATCAATAATTTTACGCTGACAACAGGTAAAAAGAAAATCTTAAGAGTTCTGCAATGCTTGTTCACTCCTCACCAACTGCTTATTTTCTTCGTAAATCAATTTTGCCACTGTGACTCATGTTACCTGAATCACTAGGACCTATGAAAGTCATTATAAAATGTAACTGTTTTAAGGACAAGTTTTACCCTGCTGAAAGAGAGGGCAAAACTAAAAGGTCCGTGAGATGTACTCACCTTTGCAGACTTTGCAGCACTGGTTTTCCACGTGCACTGGAAGAGCATCAGGAGGACAATCAAGAGGGGGACAGGACATCCTTCTGCACTCCACAGCTCCACTCTAAGCAAAGGTTTTTAAGACAAAATTCAACCACAACTGTTGAAATTAGTAAATATTTTATACAAAACACAGAGGGCAGAAAATAATTTAAGTAAATAAAAACAGCACTGTGGATTACAGACCCATCCTTCAGCAACAACTTTAATCCCGTCCAACTACAAACTTGAATTAAAACACATCTAAAGGCGAACCACCTGGTTTTGATATGTATTATTGGTTCCACTCCACTGAGCAGAGTGCATTAAGTAGAAAAAATAGGCTCATCTTTACAAGAACATAAGCACCACTTTCTCTAGGCTGTGCCAATCACCTTTGAGATTTTTAACAATCAGTTTTCTATTTTCTTGAGCAAAGACTCTCTCCAGATATTTATCAAATAATTTCAACAAGACAAGATTTACATACTAATCCTCTTCTTTCCCTCAGTTTTCCAGAGTGGTAAACACTGAAAACAGAATCTGCATGTTGTTACCATGCAAGATGCAACTAAGCATCTATGAATACTATTAAGATAATGCTTTCTGTTTGAAAAAACTACTGCAGTGAAAAGAACTCCAAACCAAACACAGACAATGCCACGCTTTCGTGTCAAAACCATAAAGTCTTCACATATATAATTAGAACAAATAAGACAGCATTGTGAAGGGAAAGCAGATTTTATTTATTAAGTTTGCACAAAAGCAATGCCAAATTTTTATTTATTTTACCATTTCCTTCCCTATTGTTCCCACTAGCACTAGGTGCATACTAACAACATAATCATTATCAGAGTTAACATTATGTATTCAAGGACCATTTTCACATTTTAATTGAATCCCACTCCTTAAACTCTTTAGAAATTCTTACTTTGCATGTGCAATTCCTGCAGTGATCATCTTCAACCCATGAGTCTTTGTCTCGATAAATCAATCCATTTATTTGACAGGTCTTCTCACAATGACAGTCTTCCAATTGACTCAGTCTTGTTTCTGCATAATTTAACTACAAATGAAAGCAACTTGATGAGATTTCTACAATTCAAACACTTGATTTTAAGAATGCAAATATGAGAAAGCAGTACACTTATTTTTAGGTGAACCAAGTTTGACTACAACCTTTGAAACACTGAGCACGATGTCAGCAGGTACTCCTGGCGCTTTGATGGGGCCACCCATGTTAACAGTTTATGACTCATGCAACTGTCTCCTGTAACAAGCCCCAGCAAGATGCCCTCAGAAATGTCCAGGGATTACCCAAAGTACACAAACTACGATTGGGTTTGTTTGTTTTTTTAAAAGTCCTTAATTGCTCATCAACTTGATTAAAAGTCAAAAAACATGACTGACTTTTCCTAATCATCCCTATCTCATCATTGTTAAGCACCAGCCAGACTGGTTCTTTCTAACTTTTAGAAAGGTCTTAACCTGATAGCACCAAGTGAGATTTGAAGGGGAAAGAAAGCATTTTAATTCAGTGTAGTACAGAATAATCCCAGAATGTGATTAATGGAGAAGCCATGCTCCTGGAGTAAACCCTAGGCTGGCTCTTAACATCCCTTGCTGTTCCTATTACCTCCTCAACTCCAACTACGAAAATGCTTATCAAGAAGCCAAAACTGATGCTTTTTTGCCAAGTGTTACATCTGCAAACAAGCAATTGTTATGTTTACTGATGAAATACACAGTAAGTGGAGACAATGGTCATTCCTGTTCATCCTGTCATCCATGTTCTCCTAAGCCATAGCTCACACCTCCCCTTCACACAAGGCACCATCTTACCCTTTTCCAGAGAGGAACAACCCCTGCCCATGCACATCTTGTGCCCAGGGCCATCATCTCTAATCCCTAAGAGCACCCAAAACTACCCCCCCCATTTATTAATACCAAAAATACACTCACATACATATATATATAAACATAATATTTATAAGTAAATATGTGCATTCTTCAGGCCCCAGTACTGCCATTGCTCTAAAAATCTCCTTGGTGACACCTAGGCAAGGGAGTTTCTCAAGGTCCTTATTTTTTTACATTCACATTTGTCTTACCTGTATAAGCCATCCTAGTGAAGCTACTGCAAATAACAAGGCTACCTAAATCTGACACAAGGCAAGATGGAAGTATATTCTATTCTGCTATAAATATGATGCTATTATGCTACATTATGGGTTGCTACATTTTAATAGTGTCCTCAAACCAGGACAAATAGTAGCAAATTTTATTTAAAAAAAAAGAATGCACAGTGCTATAGTATTTCTTACATAATGTCATATACCTGCATTTCATATATTTTTGTTCTGTAAAATGCCATCCACTCTACATGAAAATATTCTAATAGGTCCTTTTGCATTCCTATCAGTTAAAGAGCAACTTATTTCGGAGGAAGAAAAAAAAAAAATATATATTAGACCAATTTCTGTGGTTTTCTGGTTTTTTATTCCTCTGCAGTTCTCATGAGAGAAATCATAAGAGAAATAAAAGCTCTTTTTTCTTTAAGGTATTATTCCTGGAATAATAGGGTGACATCAATGATGCTCATCTCCCCCAAACTCAGCATGATCTGGTGGCTTCAAAACTGCTTTTCACATTTTAGAGGCAAAATTATCTTCTTACTGAGCTGCTTGTTTCAGCAGAAACACTTTTCAAGTAATTATATTTACAGCATATAAATATATTTAGTTTTGGTTAAAAGGTCTTTGGTTTGTCTTACACTTCATTTATTTTTTTAATTAACATTCCCATCATGAGCTATACAAATTTGAGAGAGAAAGGAGTTTAAAAATATCCAGATTTGAAAGTGGCCTTTGGCTGCCCTAGAAATTATTCCCTAAAAAAAGAAGAAAGCTCTAAGAGAATAAATATTTTCAATTTATTAAATTCTTCTGTCAATTGCTTTACCTTGATAGGTATAATTTACTTAAAAACCATGTACCTCCTGTTTTAAGAAATATCTTCAAACATAGCAGACCAATCAAGTAGATCATCACAAGGAAGGCAAGAGCAAACCCTCCAATACACAGAGGTATCAGAGCCCATAGAACCTGTTCTGTCATCTTCTAAAGTGACCCAAAACATTCTTTTGTTTCTATACTTCAAGCCTTAATTGAAAACAAACCAAAAAAATATTCTAAGTTCAATAAAATGGTGAATTCCTTAATATGAGCTCAAACGTCCTTTCAAATGTTGCCAAATGCATACAACTAGATTTGATGAATATTTAAGACAATAGTGGAAAATTTTCAACTTTTGGACATTTTTTTAGGTTATGAACAGCAACAAAGTAACAAAAGAGAAACAGCCCACACCACAGCAAATATTTTCCATAAACTAAGCAAATCCTCAGTTTTTTATATTCAGAATATTTGGTTAGCTGTTATTCACAAAATGTATTTAACATTTTCCTTGCTTCTCCTCTGCCCATTAACTGAAATTAACTGAAAGATAACAGACTTCTGTTAAAAATGTATTGGTTTTGGCAAATTAATATGAAAATTATGTTAAAAACACACCAAACTATCAAAATATACATGGACATTTTTCTTAATCATGTAAGTATTCATGGCCACAGAATTCCATCATGTAAACAAACCAGATTAACTAGTCCATCAATGAACATCAGTTCTTGATTTTTCTTTGGTTTAATCAAACCTGTGTTAACCTTTCTGACCTCAACCAAGGGAAGATTCAGTAGAAAGTTGTGTGCTGAAATTCATCACATAACAAGCACAGCTGAGTACAAAGCACATCCTAGTTAAGGCCCATAATTTACTAAAAAGAAATTTTAATCCAGAGAAATGCAGGAGATGCCCAGACTGATTTCAGTAATTTGTTACAAGCTGCATGAATTCTTTTAGCCATTATTTTTAAAGAGGAACTAACAACGTTCCAGCACGGCAGTTGGGAATGCTCAAATGCAACACAATCCTTTTCTCCTGCAGAAAACTAACATTTTAGCCAGGTTACTAATACTCCAACCTATGGTGTTTCTGTATTTAATGACATGAGATTAAATCAATTAAATATATATATTGGGAAGATTCAGAATTAATTCAAATTATGGTCAAAAAAAAATAGGCTTAAAAAGATAGCATTTAGTCATCTTGAAAAGCTATTTCCTTACCAGACACAGGTAGGAAAAGGACATTGTGACAATTAGCTTGCTACAGGTCATGATCAAAAGGTCCTGTACATAGCACTGCATGACAAACTGCTATAGACAGCTCTTCTGAGCCCCTTACACAGTCCCTGTGTCCCATCCTGAGCCAGCACCAGCCCCATGGGGTCCCCAAGTAAAGCTCAAGCAAGAGGGTACTCTCTCCTCCTGCCTGCATACTGCATAATTTGCACTGCTACCAGAACTATGTAAGCCTGAAGCCACTAGGCTGATGTTTTCTTCCCAGAAAAACCTTGATCTGAGTTTTCATAGTTTTACATAATATAAACTGCATGTACCCATGGGTGGCAAACATCATTCACGGACCTATTCAATGCTGTAAAACAGCTCGAACTAGAGACTGAAGGAGAAACTGAAATCCTAGATACAGCAGAGCCTAAAAGCAACAACTGGACATCAAACCACATGGCCCACTTTTCCAAAAAGCTGTGCTCATGCTCCACATCTCTTGGTGCAGGACCAGCTGCTGGGATTCATTGCTCATGTTAATTAACAAGCCATTCTCTGACCACCTGCCCTGCCAAACTGGAGCTCTGCAGGGAGCTGCACAGCCCTTCTAAGCCTTACTTTTTGCCTTGCTTCATCATCCCTATACGATACCTTGGTATCTACATGAGTACTGCTTCTGGCTATTGACCTCTAGGACTGAAAAGGCAGAGACAAACCTTAGTGCCTCCCTCAAGCCCCTCCATTTTTAACTTGCATTTGTCTGCCAAATTAACTTCCTTTCCTGCTGCATGCATTCTCCTGAGCAACAATACTTCTGTAACTGCAATGAAATAGCCAGTGCACTGCTATAACAGAAAAGGAACTAGCAGTGAAGGATTTTCCCAGCACCCCTTTATGGAAGCACAGAGTCTTTTCCATAGAAATACTGTGTTATTTGCTTCCCCTTATAAAGCACAAGCAAGCAAAAATATAATAAACAGCAGAGAAAGTTACTCAGTACAGTGCATAATTGGGACTTGCTCATACCACCAGCAGGGCTCAAAATAATTGCCTCCCTTTGACAGTGCAAGCAGCAAACTGAACTAAAAGCTTCACATTTTGCATTCAGAGTCAGCCTGTCCAAAGCATGTCAGCTGAGTAATTGGATTGTCACTAAAGTGTGCACACTTCCTAAAAAACAAAGTTTCCCCTTCCCTATTATGAAAGAAAAGAACTCTTAAAGGCAGCACAGTAAAAAGTATAATGCTTTCATAGCACTAGTATGCAAATCCTCTTTTTGATATTCCTGTTCAGTAACTACACTGAGATTAAAGGCATCTACACGTTGGTTGCAGTTGTGCTTAAATCTCTAAGTAATTAACATGTAAGTGCTGCTTCAGATGAGACAATTAATTGTATTTTACCACAGACCAGATGGTTTACCACTATTAACCTCCAAATGTCTTCACAGATTGCCTGTTAACACAGACCAGGGGTTCAGTCACCTCTACAACACAGCTTCCTGCCCCAAAACCTCACCGCAGCCTTAGCTGAAGAGCCTTGGCTCACATTTCTTGACTATGTAGTGTGGCAGCAGAGAATGAAGAAAATCTCCATAATCCCCCTCCAAAAAAGTCACTCTAACTTCCCATATATACTACTCACAATCCAAAAATAACAACATTTAAAAAAAATACTAATAATCCCACCTCAGCCCAAATTAGATTCTCTTTTACACTGTAAAAGCCATTGATGATATTCATGATGTTGTGATCAACACAGCCAGCAGCTTCACAGGCATTCTGGGGCCTCAACTCGATTCCCAGGAAGGAGAAGTCCTGAAGACTTCACAGGACTACTCACAGTCAAACATGAACCCTCTGACAGCATCACATGGCGAAGAAGCTGTTGAGGGATTTCACTCCTTTGTTTCTCCTTTATCCATCAACATGAAACAGGAAACCATGCTAAGGCTCCTCACAAAAATCAGACCCTGGGCATTTTCTCACCAAATAATAAGGCAGACAATACAAGCTTAATAAGGCTTAAGTGACACGTGTGAAGCTACCTCTGTAAGTCCACTGCAGATAGGGCTAGTGACAGAAGGTGGGGGCAAAAATAGATTTTCTGTGAAAGTATAGAACAAATGCAGAAAGAATAGATACTTTCATGTTGGCCTTAGAACAGAATTGTTAATTAACAAAAGAAGCTTAGGTACCTACTTTTGCAGTCATTTTTGCCAGGAGTTCTTGCAAATCCATGATTCCTTGCACCAGACTTAAGAAATCACTGCAGGTTGGGCATGCTCAATAAAGGAAAAGCAAAAATAAAGGGAAAGGAAGAGAAAGAGAGACACAATAACCCATAAATAAATCAAGTCTGATATACTACTAGTTATCTGAACGTAAAATGCAATCTGTTTACAGAGAATTTTTGCTTTCTGAAAGTCAGCACATGAAGAAAATCACAAGCCTGAAAATATTTTTAAGACAAAGAAATAACTTGTATGGAAAATTTCAAATAAAGAAATTGCTACTTACTGCGATTCAGATTAGGACACTGCATTATGTATCCATTAGGTATGAAGATGACTTTCACATCTTGAATAACACCCTTTGAAAAAGAAGAGAAAACTGGTAATACAGATTACAAACATTCACTTAGATCTGCACAAAGTGCTTCACAAGTCATTCCTTAAGTGGGTACAAAAAATTGAGAAGCTCATGTTTCTTCTGAGAAAAATAACCAAAGATGGACAAAAAAATAACAACCCTTTCTCTCTATCCTCCTGTGTGTTTGGATATCAATTTTCATAAAACACAGAAATACTACTGCTTTGTCTTTTGCAATCACCAGATATAAGCTGCTTAAATGTATTAAAATGGCATGAGATTAGTGAAAAAGCAGGGAAATAATATCCATTATTCAAGTCTACAACACACTTTACCAAAAGACAAAAAGAAAACACAGCAATGCTCTTTAGTGATTTAGCCAAATAAAACTGTGAAGTCAAATGTTATGGAAAGAAAAGTATAGAATGTGAGAGGTAAGTAAGTGTTTAGTCACTAGCCTTCTATCTCCACAGGCAGTTCATGTAATCGTGCCATTTGTTAGAATTAAATCCTCTAACCCAGACAGATGGAAAGACAGTCCCTATGCAGGAGTGGCAGAATTCAGGACACCAAGATAGAGCCAGCTAGTACAGGTTGTATGCAGCCCAGAAACTGAACCAGGAGTGACAGGAGTGAGGAAGGATCACCACATCCAGTTTAGGCAGTTGTGTTGTCCATGACTTGCAAGGATGTCCTTGAGGGAAACAGCAGACATGAAGGGTTGCCCAGTACCTACACACACCTGGGTCCTGAAGAGCTCTAAATCCTTCAAATGGCCTCCAAAATGCTGAAGATCAGCCTTGCTCTTTTAAGGTCCATATAAAGCTCTTGCTCCATCTTTGACTGTTTAAGATACTTACTCCACAAGATCCACTACTTCTAATAATGTCATTGTCACTAAGGGAGAGGAGCAAGGGAAAACAAGGGACTTCTAGTGCTGCTATTTGCAGTTTGCCTGACTGTTCATCAGATGTAGTGACATGGACCTATGTCCTCCCAGACACAGAAGAATTTCTTGAATTTGAAAATAAATTTTATCATCATGGCAATTATCTGATTAAATTACTGATTCGTAAGACTACATTTTAATTTTCAGTTATATTACAACACAGCAAATTTTGCAGACTGAGGACATGAAATACTGAACTCCATTTGTAAATAAAACATAGGCCTCAGCCCTTAAAGCCTGGTGAACACGTCAAGTAAGATTCAACATCTACATCTTCATTTGCTAAAACAGCAGAAGGTAATCAGCAAGCACCGCTTCCGGCTTCCTGTTTCATCATCAAATATTCACTGAAAATACTAATAGACATAATCAGATCACACTGTCTTCTGTGCAGAAGTATATACATTTATTAACCTTTTCATTTATGAGAATAATGAAACCATCATAATAATGAGAAGTAATACTGTCACTGGAAAAGGAACATCCTGAAAGCCATTTTAGACACTCTCTGCTAGCAGTCATCAGTGAGAAATTAGAAGGCAAGGCATAAAATACATTTCAAAGCTTAAGCCTCTCCAGTGAAAAGCTTAACCAAGAGTAAATGAGATTACAAAGTTTCACCAGACCATATTGCACAGCTAACAAGACATAATCCAGAAAGAAGCAATGCTTTCCTCAGCTTTTTGATTAAAAGTGTATATTAAACTTCAAGTGTGCTTTTTTGCATCAGAGCCACATCACTCGATGGCCTTTGGAATAGACAAGCATTTTAATACAACCTGAAGTAGAAATACAACTGGGTTTTGTGCCTACATGGAAACATGTTAGCATGAAAAAATGTATGAACTTCAGTCTGTAAAACCTCTGAAACAGCACTAATATGCTCAAATACAGAAGGGAACCCTCAAAGAGCAGAAATTTTGCTGATGTATTTTTTAAATAGAAAGACTTCATTATAGGCAAGCACATAGTACAGCTATAGTTATTGTAACACATATGAAGAAATTTGGACTATTCCTCTTTCAACATTAAGTTTAGGTTGCAGAGAGCTTTTGAGAGCCAGAAGGAGAATTAGACATGCACAGCCTCCCAGGGGAAGCAAAAGGCTCTGGTCCACTTCAGCACAAGGTGGAGTTCCTCAATACACATTTTGTGACATCAGACTTTGGCTTTGACAGGCAGATGTCAGTGGTCAAAATTCTCCCTATTTTGCCTTTCCCAATCAGACATCACCTTATATACATTCCATTATAGCATTTGACTATTTAAAACTGGAGCTTCAGTTCAGTATCAGGACCCACTGGCTTCACGAGCCTTCATCTGTGCAGGCAGATTACCAGCTACAAGATTTAATTCAGGCCTGCAGCCCTAAATATTAAGCCTCATCCTATGAGGATGTAATGCCAAAGCCTTGTTTATGGCACTTCTCAATGTCTCAATTAAATAAAGGAGGACTGTCATTTTCTGTGAAAAGGCTCATATATATCACGAACTCTCCACTTCTGTTTTCATTTCCTCCATTGCCTTTCACTCTCTTTAAAATCAACTTCTCCCACAGAGACAATGCACACCCCACAGCTCTGCAGGTTGCATCAGCCAGGGCTGGTGAAAGGCTCTGCGTGGAGGCACCAGTAGATGTGCCCAGCACCCTGTGCCTTGGCAATGCTACACCTGCTCCAGCAGATCAGCACTGTGCTACATCTGCACAGGACTGGCATGCCCCTTGCACAGCTGCCCTTGGCACTGCATTTACCTCACTCTGGTCTGTACAACTCTTAGATCAAAGCAACTACAGAGGGCCAAGTAAACACATGATGCTGTGTAGTAAAAATACCAACATACTTCTCAAGCACCTGCTGTGCTATCCCCAGTCAGAGCCGCAGGATCAACAGAACCTACAGCAGATATGAAAATTAACATCTTTTTACATTAATCACTTAGTCAGCAATGCATTAATAAGCTCATTTCTGCAGCAACTCTTTGGAGGGAACCTTGGGGGGAAGGATTCTCCCCAGAGATAACAATGAATTTTGGAGATCATTTGCATCCTGACAGCGTTAAGATTCATCCTAGAGTGAGGGTTCCCTGAATGTCTCCTATCACTCTCATCCTCCTCTCAGTTGCACTTACTTTGGTTTCCTATCTGATTATAATAGCAGTCTTTAGCCCTAAAACAAATCTCACTTTAGAGCCAGACAAAGAAACCTGAGAGTCAGCATGTATTTTTCCAAAGGAGTAACTCCTGAGTTTCTCTTCAAAGCAAACAAGCAAAATTATCTTAGGCGTGCTCCATGTTTGCTCTTGCAACTGCTGTGCTGAAACCATACCATCTTGTCTGAACCTCAAATGCTTCCTCGTAGCAGGTAAATTGCAACTACTGAGAGGTACTAGTTGTAAAGAGGTGAGACTTCAACTCCCTTGGCTATGCCCTTGAGCACTTCATTCCCCAGCAAAGCCACAGACACAGCAAGGCTACTTGTGGAATTACCACTGTAAGGATGTGGAACAAAAGCATAAATAGGAAAAATGGCAACAACTGCCCACGGTGACTTAGAAGTATCATCTCTTCCCCTTACTCCTCTAATACATTGAAGAATTAGGAACAAAAATAGGCAAGGGAATATTGCCCAAAATGTGCTTTAATGCTGTTAATTTATGCAGAGACACAACAATTAATATAATTAAAATAAGACAATGTTTGGAACAGCAAAGATGACAGAACAGTACCCAGTGCTTTTTGCTACATACATTATCATGGCTCCAACACACATATAAAAATGCTAATTCTTTTTTAACACTCTTATTTCCCTCCAGATCTCTGTTTACATTAAGGAAAATAGATCTACTATTTTATATGCTAAAACAGTGAAACAAATTGCTTTGAAAAAGAAAGGGAGGTCCTGCTGAGCATGTAAATATATGGAAAGAAATGTGTGCTCTTTACAAATTGGCAAAACCCCAAGTTTTTGCAATGAGTAACATTAAAAAAAAAAAAAAAAGCAAGATTTCTGGAACTCTCAAGCAGGATTAAAAAAATACAACAATTATATTTCTGCCCTGAAGAAACTTAGTAAAATACTCAAGCATGCATAAAGCAAAGTAAGGCACTTGTCAGCTTTCATTATGATCAATAAAAACTGTCAGCTCATTAGCATATCATTAGCTACCCTGCTGTTTCCAAAGTGTTAATGCATAGAAATATTAATTTACAAACATATAATATCCCAGAGTTCTGAGGCTCTGACTGTCTGCATAAAATAAGAATTTAAGATGGGCAAATCCAGTATAACTTCTTTTCCTATGTAGCTATAAACATATGCTTACCATCTGTGGAACTATGGGAAGCAGCTGAGGTAAAAAAACAACAGCTGTAGAATAAAATAATACTATCAATTTCACTTCACAGTGACAGCTCAGCTGCTGGAGGATGAAATGTACTCTAGGTTCAGAGAAACTCTGGGACCGCCATTCCAGTTCCAAGTTAGCTCTTGCCTCTGTTTCAGAGTTACAATTGCTGGTTGTTGTGCTTAAATAATTTTAGTATAAAATAATTGTCCCAGTTTGTTGAAATCTCGGGACTCTGAGGAGAGGTCCTCAGGAAAGCAGCAACTTGTAAAATTGTCTTATGAACTGACAGCTTCAAAGAGAAAATGAGTGGGTGGTAAATCACCTTGGCAACAAATCCATGCCAATATCGAGGACAGGCAGGTTGGTGTATCCCTGCACTATAGACTAGCACTGATAAACACTTGCACTGTGGCTTATTATTCAAAACTGGAAGAAAAATGATAAGCTCTTCTGTAGCTTGCTTACAAAGCAAAACAATTAATTTTCAGGAGGAATGGGTGGAGTTTATTTGTTGGTGTACTTTGTTTGTTGCTTGGTTCAACAATTCAGCCTCAGCCAGATAATCACACAGCCTCAACAGAAGCCAAAATAGCTGAAGGAAAACATACAGGAGAGGACTTTTTAAGGTACAGGTCATTTATCTGTCCTTTGCAATTTTAGAAATATATTGCCATTAATGGAATCTGGAGTATATTACTATGACTTGAATCCTCTTTTTCCTCTGACAAGTTCCTCACTCCTGTACTCAAACTGTCACTGATGACATCTTGGGGAACCTCATAAATGGACAAGACAGGCTTTCTGGCTAAGAGACAGGAGTAGCCTGGGTCCTGCCAGCTGGCCAGGCTTTCAGCCTGGGCTGTTTGGAAGCTCCGAAGGATAAAGAAACTAATTAACAAAACTTGATGACCCCCTGCTCACTCTCTGGCAAGAAACACAGTGACACACTTAGTGAGAAAACAGAAAGTGCTTCAGGTACTCCAGGAACAGAAAAATCTACTGTGTAAGTAGCAAGGCAAGTGTCCTGCATACAATAGCTACTATCTGCCAAAGCTGGAAGAGATTGCAGACCAGAAGATCTTTAGATCTTCACAGATCTATAAGTCAATGCTGAAAGAGGCAAATGAGAGTCACCCAAGGCAAACAGAAAGGTGTGGGTATTATTCCACATACAAAACCAAGAAGGAAATTACCTCCAAGAGCAATTAAGGCCACCACTGTCTGGCAAAGAGACCACAGCAAAGCTGTTATTTTGGCAAGATTTAAAGTCAAGAATAGACTCCGATGCTGCCTACACAGTCCACTTCTTTCCCCAGGTGTGGCAAGGCAGAGCACGGCAGGCAGGTGAAACCAGTAAGGAAACCAAACACAACCCCCAAACACTGGATACTCCAGTCAGTGACTACAATACTCTGTCTTGCAGGAAGAGATCTAAATGTGATCTCTTAGTGATGGACCTACCTCAAAACCCACAACCTCACCTTCTACTGAAATTCATACAAATCAGATTTCAGGAATGTAAAACAACTAACCTGAAGTATATTGTTAACCATGTGCTCATTTCCTTCTTCATGTGCCATTTCATATCTGCTTACCTTAAAGAAACCATGTTTCCTGTTTCTCTGTCCAAGCCATAAATTGCTTTCAGGTGTCAAATTCGTTTCTGGAGGGTCAATGACACGTTCATAGATCCTGTAGAGGGAATACATTATCAGTACTTGAATCCTCTTTTTCCTCTGAAAAGTTCCTGCTCCAAATCAGTTAAAGATGGAAAGTAAAACCAAAGAAAACAAATGCATTAAACAATATTTCTCATTCGTAGTTTTAAAGGTATGTTACAACTTTAAAAGCAAATAAAAACCAACAGGGAAAAACTGTATTAAAATCACTAACATATGAGGACGGCATAAAACTGAAAGTCCCCCTGTGCAGTTCTGCAGCACTATGCTGAGGAAACACAATGCCAGGACCGGAAAAGAATCAATGAGACCATCCTGGCCTAGGGGCTCCTTCAATCTCAATTACCAGTTCAGGAGAAAAAGTGCCATCACAAACAAGATCCAACTAGACAAACAACCCTTTGTGGTTTTCAGCCTGTGGAATTTTGAATAGACTTCACAAAGAAACGTCATCCTACCTCAACTCCCAGGGCCTCTTTTTCCCTACATTTCTGTTATTTATCCCTGCACCTGGAGCTTCTGTTTCATCCCCTTCTCCCCATTTACTGCTGGTTTTGAACTCACTAAGCCTGAGTGCTCATCTGTGCTGCCACTACTGCCCATCCAACCTGCCCATGCCACTGGGGCAGGCCTGGCACCTCTCTGTTCAGGTTTGGGACCCAGCACTACAGGGACATTTTCTTGGTTGTTCTCCAAGAAGCTGGAAATACTAACAACAATGACAAGAAATAACATCAAGTCCATAAGCAAACTTTGTGTACTGCATAAACATGCACATGAATGCAGTCATCTCCATACCAAATTTCTAAAATTAATTCAAGCAAAATTGCTGTAACACAGCATTTTTAAGTTTTAAAAAACCAAGGATCTGGAGTTTTCAAAATGTTTTGCTTGGGTTTTTTTGTTTATTTCTAGGGAAGCTGTAATGAAGTTGCCATAACACCTTTTTCAGGAACTCAGACCACTAGAACAATGATACCACTTTAGAACATGGACCATTCAAGACCAAGTTACCAACCCTGGATTGTCTAATTGCCAAGGCACACTAGTAGGAGCCATGAAGTTATTGCTTCACAACAAGACCAGCGTGCTTGGATGGGCCAGCTCACAAGGAGTATGTATTGCTCTGTAACCCGACCAGCGTGAGAACCAATAGGGAATACTCTGAATACATCAAGACCTGTAGCTTAAAGGCGTGAAATTATTTTTCTTCTTTCTTTAAAGCAACGGCTTTAAAACAAACACAAAAATGAACACCAAAGAAAAACACAAGTCAATTAACATCACAACTCGTTAGCCAGTTATCTTCCCATTTACACTCCAAGTGCTTCTAGCACAGGCTCACCAGGTGTAAGCATTGATTTTTGTGTTGCATATTGCCAAACTTTTGGAAAATTCAAATATTTGCAGAGGCCTAGAGTAATCTCCCATTATCAAAGAACTTCAGGGAAGCTCTATAGAGTATGTTATGTTAAAGTACTAAGAGTCATATATTCCACCCACTTTTGCTCACCCAGGAAAGAAGGAAACCATTTCTCAAAATGAAATGGAAGCAATCTAAAAAACTAGTGGCAAACTTACTATTTCCTTAGAAAGAAATACAAAAAAATCTCCAACCAAAACAGCCACATGAAAATCTCAGGTTAAGAATGTTAGTACAGGAGTAAGACAACTTCTAATACTCCTTATTTTATTGTTCACATTTTTTATCATCAGTCCTAATTCATCACATTTCATCAAGGAGACAAATTCAAAGTCCTAGGATATTTCTGTCTCCTAGTTCATCACCTCCTGCTATCCATACTATTACAAAGAGCAAAACAATATTATATTTTTAAACTATGTTTTAAGAATTATAGGAGGTTCCCATGGGTTATTCTGTGTCAGTATCTTAAAGTGTGAGTAAACTCCTTCTGTCATAACCCTCAGGCAAAACAGAAAACCTACTCAAATGCAAAACTGCTGCATAAGGCTGAATAAGGAACAAAGAACTGAGATGCTCCTCGAGAAAACCAATCACTGAAGTACACTATAATATTAGGAATTTCTCTTTGGATACATATCACATCTTTATTCATGACTTAGGTTAATAAAGTCCTCACTGGAAATTTTCTAATCTCTTAGAAAGATTAGTCAATATTGTATAAAGAAGTTCATTTCTGCTAAGAGATAAAAGCCAAGTGTTTAAAATAAAGCAACAGACCAGTTCAATAACACTAGTTATTCAAGAATATTTGATTGTTATTCACCTGGCCTAAAGTTAATAAAGGAACTCTGTAGTATCTGTTTGTAATTACATATTAAAAAACCCCTAAGTTTTTAGGATGAAGCATACAAACTGACACTACTGCATGACAGTTCAACAACAGCAAGTGAGGAAGACAAAGGAGAGACAGGCTAAAATGGTTTCTCTTGTCTTTTCTGACAATTTAATAAAGACTTTCAACCTGTGTGAAAAAGGCTGTAGTGACCTTCCTTCCAGACAGTGCCACTCATAAAACACATGCTCAGGATTCCTCAGCTCCTGTTACTGTTCTACTCTAATTCCAATCATCAAGCAGCTATTTACCTTAAATTAGGGAATTAATTAAAGGTCAGATTGTGCCTTATTCCATATTGTTTAAGAGACTGGTTAGTTTTCTTCTCTGTGGATCTGCCCACTGAGTAACAGCCTCAGGTTTCAAGAAAAGGCAGGAGGTGTAGATCACTCCTTGCTTACCTTTGCTATGTAAAAAGACGTTTTGTTTGACACTGGTTTGCCAACAATTTGAGGTTACTGTATTACTGTATATTGTTACACATCAGCAAAAAAAGCTCCAGCATGCAGACATACAGCTTACTGCTATCCCTGTAATCCCCTCTAGATTCCTGGGAAATGAAAAGGTCAAAAAGCACATGTGAATTCATAACAGAAAAAAATATATATAAAACAAATCACAAGGACTATGGTTCACCATATGCTACTTCTCTAATCAAAAATAATTAAAATTGAAACACAAACAAGATACTTGCAACTCCTGACAAAAAGGGACAGTGATACAAAAAGAAATTGCAAGGTACTTTTCCAGCAAGACTAGAAGTGGCTACACAAACACAAACTGCATGGAAGAAGCTTTTGAATCAATACGAGCGAAGAAACGTGGCATCATTACTAACTCTCAATCAGAGGATATATAAAAAAAAAAAACAAAACAAAACAAACCCAAAGTTTTCAAATCTCTGTGAACAGAGTTTCACCAGCTCCGTGCACGGGCAGCTGATGGCCAGCAGAGCTGAAGCCAGGGACTGGGCATGTCTCCTGGCTGCCAGGTTCATGTTTTAAGTCACAAGAACATCATAAGCAGTCCAGCTTTCCTAAAGCAGGCTTTCAGAAACAGAGACTTAATGGGTAACTAAGATGCCCTGTCCATACCAAATTATTAACATGGCACTTACCTAAGTAGTTGGGAACAGGTTTTCACCCATACATATGGATTACCCATGTATGTACACCACTTACAAATCTCTCAAATATTAATGATTATTCAGGTGATTTTTCAGGGCGTTTCTACCCATAAAACACAAACATTCCATGACATATCTCACATCACAATGACAAAAGTTACTACTTAAAGGTGAAATTCTGTTATAACTAATGCTTCTGATGTTTGCTCTGCTCCCCTTCCTGTATTGATTTTCTTTTGGAGGGGGTGATTTTCAAGCTGAAAAACTACTGGTATTGAATAGACATAAAAGGATCCTTTTGGTTTTTTACAGTCACATTAAGCTTCCTCATCATTCTCATTTCCTTGCGTGATTCTTCTGGGCTGAGGTGTGTCACCTTCTGTGGCTTTCTCCACACTTGACAAATACTTCGCTTTTGGCACATGAATAGCTAAATTATATCTATTACATTTCCAGTTTATGAAGTGCTAGTCTAGAGCTCCTTGGAGATCAGTTTCCAATACATTTGGGTTTGACATCCATACAGAGAAATGTGCAGTTCACTTCACAAGAACAGGAAAGCTTAGAAAGAAGACTCCAGGGAATTGTGGTGTATCTAAAAATGACTGCAGCCTGAATAGCCCCTCCAGCATGAGAAGACCCAGGGCTCTAGGTTAATGGAAGCTCTACTCCATGCTTCAGACTTTCAGATTTATGATTACTGCATTCACTTTCCAAGAGAAAGCTTGATGTTTTCCCTTCTTTATGCTTAAATATTTCAAAGGAGATAAAGCATAAACGTGGAGTAATACAGCTGTGAACCAATTCCTCTTCCGTGAAATACAGAATACATTCAGTAACCACGGATACATTCAGCAAGACACAGTAAGAAAAACACCTGTTAATTGAAAAAGACTCCTGATAGCCTTGTGCTTTGTATTCTTATCTATCCTGTCTGCACACTTTGTTTTATAAGTATTCTTATGCAATCCTCAGAAACACCTTTTTCAAGGATACATTTCAAGCAGCTGACTATAACATAATGAATACAATATACAGAAAATTCATAAAATAATCAGTGGATTCCTAAAAGGAGGGGTATCTCAAATATCTGCATGCAAATACACATGCACACATCTTTATCTGCAAAGAGGAAGAGCCTCTCTAGAAATAAAGCTGTGTTGGGCAAGGAAACCATTTCCTTCTGTGCATGTCATCTACAATTATTTTTATCATCTTTAAAATGTTCTGGTAAAATAAACTGAAATACAGAAAGACTAACTGATTAACCAAGATCACAAAGACTGAGCCAGGGAGGGATATTGCCCAAGATCTAAGCCATTCAACTGGAAATGACTGAGGTGTAACTGCCTCATGCACTTGGCCACATTCCCTCTGGAAAAAACCTCACATGGAATTGTCTCTTGCAGTGAAAATGGTTTCTTACATGCAATTTTAACAAGTAAAAGCTAATACTTGGCAAGAATTTCAACTTTTGTGAAGATGCAGCTCTACTTCATACATACAAAATTTGCCAAGCCAGAAGCATTTTAGAAATTGCTGAAATATTTAGCAGAACATGAGAACAGT